CAACACCACTGGAGTTGCATACAAGAACTCATCAACATCAAGCTGACCATCAGTGGGTTGATGAAAATGCTAAGAAAGCTCATGTGAGTAAAATTTTTTGGAGTTTTGGAATAAAAATTTATTTTAATAAAACTAATTGTAATATCAATATATTTTATGGCTATATTCTCGCAGGATGATTTTGTACGAGCTAGAGATAGTCGCCAGTCCACTAGCGAGGGATCATTATCATGATCGGCTCACACTTCTGAGTATCATACATGGCCAGATGTTGTTGGTGGAAGATAGAGGGGGAGGATATATGGATTGGGTTCATAGGGCTATGCTTATGAGGGGAGTTCATCCACCTCAGCATTTTATGATCCAAGTGGAGCTAAAGAAACTGTGAGTCAGAGGGTTGCAGCGTTGATTAGAGAGATTGAAGAAATGAGAAGGGTTCAAAATGAAATGCAAGAAGAGCTGTAATCCTACAGAGTTGAAAATCAAATGAAACAAGAGGAAGAGAAGCGATGAACATCTCGAGACAACGAGGATACAACAGAGGAGTAGAACTTTTTTATGTTTATTGTGAACTTGTAGACTTGTGAACTTATATTTGATGGTTGAACATATTAACTTTGTTTACATTTAATATTTTATTTGGTTGTGCTTATGTATATATTTGTGATAGTTGATTGAATATAGCGATGTGTTGCCGAAAACGTGTTGTTATATATTGCTTTCTATGCAGGTTTAGAATATAGGGTGAACCTCCCTCAAATAGAGGGGAGGCTATCAATTTTTTTTTTCAGGTGCTACAGGTTTCCGGTGGCCAACCGGCGGTTTGGCAGACGAAAATGACGATACCGGACAGTTGATTGATGCCGCCAGTAACGTCTTTCAACCGTCGGTATATTATCGGTGGTTATCCGGTGACATACCGACGGTGTAGACCGCCGGCCTAACAGTCGGCATTGACCGTCGGTTAACCGCCGGTGTGGTACCGGCGGTGTACCGACGCTTGCCGGCAGTTGTTCGAACGCATACCGACCGCTATAACCGCCAGCATGTCGTCAGTGTATAGACCGCCGGTTAGCCGTTGGTAAAATACTTGTGCCACACAACTATCTAAGGCAATGTATTCAGCTTCAAAAGTAGATAGAACTACAGAATTATGTTTCGTACTGGACCAAGAAACTAAGGAACTTCCTATGAATTGACAAGTTCCATATATACTCTTTCGATCAACCCTACAACCTGCAAAGTCTGAATTAAAATTTACAATAATTTCAAATGAAGAGTTATATTTATGATAAAAAATTTCTAAGTTTTGAGTTCCAAAAAAGATATGTTAAAATTTTTTTAATACTATTAAACGTGATTTTTTTGGATCAGATTGAAATCTAGCACACAAATAAATACTTAACATTATATCTGGTCTGCTAGCAATCAAATAAAGCAATGATCTAATTATACCTCTAAATTTTTTTTATCAATATATTTTCCCTTTGCGTCCTTAGCTAATTAAACTAAGGAACTCATTGGTGTAGTTACTAGTTTAGTATTATCCATTTCATAATTCTTAAGGTTGTTCTTAAGATAGTTCAACTGATTAAAAAAAGTTCCTTTCTCTTTTTGTTTAATGTTAAAATTAAGAAAATAACTCAGATCTCCAATTAAACTCATCTCAAATCCACTACTCATTATTTTAAAAAAATCATCACAAAAAATTTTGATTTGTAGATCAAAAAATGATGTCATCAATATATATTTAAATAATGAGTATATCATCTCCTAATTTCTTCATAAAGAGAGTGGTGTCCACACTTCCTTTCACAAAGATCTCTTTAATAAGAAAGTGCTTAACCTCTTCTACTAAGTCCTAGGTGTCTATTTCAATATATATAATATTTTTTTCAATTTAAACACATAATTAGGGAATTTAGAATTTTTAAAATCTGGAGGATACTCAACATAAACATCATCTTGTATCACCCCATTCAAAAAGCCACTCTTAATATCCATTTGATACAATTTAAATCCTTTAAAATAGACAAAGGCTAACAACTAATTGCTTCAAGTATTGCTACAGGGGAAAAAGTTTATTCAAAATCAATCCCTTCTATTTGCTTATACCCCTTAGCTATCAATCTAGCCTGATTTCTAATCACAACTCTTGAATCATTCATTTTATTTTTTAAAACACACTTAGTTCCAATAACACTTTGATTCATAGGCCTTTTAATTAATTCCCAAATAACATTTCTTATAAATTAATTCAATTCATCTTGCATGACCAAAATCTAAAATTCATTTGAAAGTGCTTGAAATAAAAGCAGAATGATTCACCTCTTTGCTAAGTCCATGCCTAGTCCTAACACCCTCACTTGGTTTACCTAAAATCAATTACCTCGGATGATTTTTAGAAAATTTCCATTCTCTAGGTAGAGGGTTTTATTTTTTCAAATTTTGTTTCAAATTTATCTTTTTAATTCCTTGGGATTTATTTTCAATACGATCATCTTCCAACTTTGGCTCTTCCAAAATTCTAGACTCATCAAACACTACATGTATGATCTCCTCAACTATCAAAGTTCTCTTATTAAAAACTCTATATGATTTTTCAATATTAGTATCCAAGAAAAATTCCTTCATAATATTTTGGATCAAATTTTCTTAAAGGAGATTTTTCATTATTATGAATGAACATCTTACATCCAAAAACATGCAAATGTGATAAATTTGATGTTCTTTCCTTAAGAATCTCATAGGGTGTCTTATTTTATTTGGATATAATATTCACCATATCAGAACATAATAAGCTGTACTAGCTACTTCAGTCCAAAAATAATTCGAAAGTGTGTATTCTGCCAACATGGCTCTAGCGGCTTCAATTAATATTCTGTTCTTTCTCTCTACTACTCCATTTTGTAGAGGGATTTTAGGTGTTGAAAGATTATGATCAATTCATTTCTCCTTAAAAAATCTTTAAATTTTTTATTTCAAATTCACCTCCATGATTATTTTGAATTGATAAAAGGCCATTTTATAAAAAGGAGTGAGTTTTAATGTTAAATTAGTTTGAGGAGTAGGCCAATTAAAAAATTTTAAAAGGAGCAAAAATGGAACTTGATTATTCGGTTTCTATTGAAACTCATTCAACGGTTTCAAAAAAAAAAAAAAAAATCCAAAGAAACTGGAGATCAATAAACCGGTTTCTTAATTAAATTTTTTTTTCTCCGAAAACCGGATATAATGCTTTTATAATTTAATATCTGGTTTCTTTTTTACATTAGATTATGTAATATATATATAATATATTGATGTACATATAAAATAGAAATTAATTAAAAAAAAACTATATTAAAACATTTTCGATTATAATTTTTAAATTTTTTTAAATATTATAATCTTTTTAAGCTTTATATTAATTTTTTTCTTTAAAAAGTATAATAATAAAAAAATTATAATATTAAATTCTGTTATTAAAAAATTATATTAAAAATTTTTAGATTATAATATTGGAATAACCGTTTTAGTATTCATATAAAAATAAATTTTAATTTATTTGGAAAATCAAGTTGGAAGCTTCAAAAATAAAAATTTATATTTATATTAACTTTTTTAAAGTTATTAAAATTTATATTTATATAAACATTTAAAAAGATTTTTAAAATTTTAATAACTTTCTAATTAATGTATAATAAAAAATGGGAACTTTGAATTGAACTCATTTAGGCTCGGATTGAGTCATATTTGGTGTCGTTGGGTTCATATTTTTGAGCCATTCAGTTCGACTATAAATTAGTTGAAATCGAAGTTCAGATGGTCGCCGATTTAATTTTTGACGTACCAACTTCATTTTCAATTAATTAAAATTTTATTATTAATATTAAAATGCTTTATCCTTAATATTTATAATCTTAAAATTTTATAATAATTTTTTATTAACCAGAATTTAATATTATAATTTTAAAATTATTAAATATTTAAGAAAAAAACTTAATATAAAGTTTAAAAAGATTATAAACATTAAAAAAAAACAATTTAAAAAGATTATAATCTAAAATGCTTTTAATATAATTTTTTATTAATTATTTCTGTTTTATATATACATTAATATATTATATATAGATTAGATAAACTAGTGTAAAAAGAAACCGGATATTAAATTATAAAAAGCATTATATCTGGTTTCAGTAAAATTTTTTAGTTTTTGTTTTGTTTTTTGTTTTATGTTTTATTTAAGAAACCGATTAATTGGTATCCAGTTTCTTTGGATTTTTTTTTTAAACCGTTGAATGAAACACCAGTTTCAATAGAAACCTGATAAACAAGTTCTATTTTTGCTCATTTTTAAATTTTTTTGTTGAACTGCTCCTTAAACTAATTTAACATTAAAACCTGCTCCTTTTTATAAAATGTCCTTGATAAAATTTCACATCCTAATTTTCTTTGAATTCAAGTGCTAAAATTTCTAAATTTCTCAAATAATTCGCTGTTATGAAATAAAAAATTAGCTCAAATGAATCTAAGAAAATCAGCAAAAATCACAAATATATACTTTACCTCCTATATTTATAGTGCTAAACAGTCAAATAAGATCCAAGTGAATAATTTCTAAAAGTTTGCTAATTCTAAGATCCTTAATAAAATGAAAGGGGGACTTCACTTGTTTTACTAGTTGACATGCATCATACACGTGATCCTTACTAAAGTCTAAATTTGGTATACCGCTAACAAGTTCTTTTTGAGTAATTTTTCTAATATTTTTCATGCTAGCGTGATGAAGTCTCCTATACCATAACTATGATTCATCAAAAATTATTTTTTAGAGGACTTTTTACAAAAATTGTCTCAAAGCCTAAATTAACTAACATTCAAACTAAATTAATTCGCAATGTTAATTTTTTAACGAACCTCACATAAATTAACACTCGCCCCAACGACGGACCGTTGACCTCTTTGCTTCCTTTATGCTCTATCTTTTGCGTAGAACGTGCTACAGCCCAGAACGCCTTTACTCTTTAACGGCGTTACTAGCGTCCTCCTTGCCGAAAAGTTTTCAACTTCTAAGTTCCCAGTTTTGTCCGAATCCGACGCCCAGCGGCGACTTTTAGGTTCGCGCTAGCACTTAGCATCACTCCTCGCCGCTTCTGGCTCCATCCTCAAATCCAAGCGCAGAAAACATTTTCTATTAGTCGGCGCAGGCCGTTTTAATAGCAGTTCTTTTAAATTGAGGAGAACGGCCTAACTCTTCATCCTGTCAATTCCTTCCGATCTCCTCTTTCTTTAAAGGTGTTTAGGGATCATATTCGAGCCCTACAGCAGTGGAAGAGGTCGGAGGATAGTTATCAGCTCATGGGCTCAAGGTAAGCTGCTGCCTTTTGAGCTCCATGTCGATAAAGCCGCTTTCCTTTCTCCTTGTCTACAAGTGTATAGGAGAAACGTCCAGTCAGCCTACGGGCCTTTTGCCTAGTCGTTTTGATTTGGTGTTTTTTAGCTTTGCAGAAATGGCAGATTTTATTATTTGAGGACACTGAATCGGAAAATAGATTTAAGGAGGGCTTTCTCTCTGCCGTATTGATTGCTTTTAAAAGCAATATACTTCGTTTTATCTTATAACTTTTTTTAGAGGGGCTTTTGATGCTGTAATCGGACTTTTGCACTCTGGCTTTCTTTGTTGGCATGCAAGCTTTACTGATTAGTCGGTTATCTATGAGAGAAGTTTTGGTGCCATGACATCTGATCCTTCTTGTGCGGTACTTGATTCTAATAGAAAAGTGGTCTTATGCTTTTGAGTGCGATTAAAATAATCTTCAGTTTTCAATGCAAAATTTGAGATTGGAACACAAATGATCTTGCAGCTAAGCATCGCTGCTGTGTTCTAGTTCATTGTGATGTTCTATTTTGGTTTCTATCCTTTTTATGCTTCTTTGATTCATAAGCGCTATGGATTCATTGGCATATTCCTTGTTGATTGCTTTAAGTTTGTGATTCTTTCATGAATGGGTAGGAATGAAGCAACAGTATTATCAAATACTAATAAAGTGAATTTGTCATCATATTTGAGTTTTTAATCAGAGTATATGTTTAGGTTCTCTTTATGCTCTTGTACAATTTGTTTTATTGTTATGCTTGCTTGTTAACTTGCATTTTAACATGAATTTATTAGGCTCTTTTTCATAAGATTCAACTTCATTAACAAGATACTGATGGGGATTAGACCTGTCACCGAATAGCTAAACGGGTCGAAATTCCAGACCCTAACCCGACCCGTTATTTAACCGGGTCAACCCGAACCCGAGAATTTCGGGTCGGTTTCGGATCGGGTTTTCGGGTCAGATCAATTGTTGACAGGTCTAATGGGGATAGCTTGTTCCAAAGAAGCAAATGTTTTAAATCAATGATAAACCTCATTTGTAGATAGTTCTCTGTTTTATGCTAAAGTAATTGGCCTACCTGTTTACTAGCACTGTGTCATGTATCTCTTAGGTTTTTTTTTTGTTCGAATCAACTTCTTTGAGAAGGTACTGGTGGGGGTAACTTTTTTAAACGAAGCAAACGTTTAAATCAGTAATAAACTTCAGTTCAAAAGTTTATAGATTTTTTCATTTTCAGAAAATCAGCAAGTCTTAAAACAATATTTCCTTTCTTTTGCCTAGCACAACTGCTTACCTCTTACTATTCTAGGCTTTGCTCTTGATTTCATTTATTTTTCTACTTATAGATTTCTGATTGGGGCTTATCTCCTGTGTAAAGGGGTGAATTCAATTTGGATAATATCCATACATGTTAACGGCGAATGGCGCACCATGGCGCAAATGTCCTATTCGAGCCATGACGCAAAGGTCCTATTTGAGCCATGGCGCATAGCGCACGGCGCGGCGCGCGCCATTTTGAACATGACGCAAATTATAAAAGAACTATAAAATAATAAGCATGAATATGAAATATCATTAAATTGAAAAAAAAAAACTATCATAATAACAAGCAAACAATGACAATACAAATAAATAACAATCCAACATAATTTCAAGTCCAATAAGTAGTCAATCTTCATACAACTAAAATATATTTAAATAAAAGCAAATTGCATTAAGAAGATAATAATATGAAATCTAATATTTATCTTAATACCTTTAATATATTTAAAAATTAGAAAATATATTATCTTAAAAATTAAAAAAAAAAAATATTATAAATAGATTAAGAAAATTTTAAAACAAATGGCGCGCGCTATTTTGCGCCATGCGCCATGGCGCGCATGTGGCCCAAATAGCGCGCGCCATTTTGAACATTTGCACCGCGTCATACACATGGCGTCGTAGGTGCGCTGCGCCGCGCCGTGCGCCATGACGCGCGCTATTTTGCGCCATTGACATCTATGATAATATCTATAAGACAAGGTGATGTGGCCTTGTAATATATTGCCACCAAGGCCTTAAGTTACTTTAGTAGAGCGGCATTGAATGTTGTTGATAGAATATGGAGTCTGTAGCTTGAAGAGGTGGTTAACTAAACCTTGAAGGGTCCCAAACCCAAGCAAACCTAATTTGGGTTTTGATGAGGGGGTTGTAGGCCTAACAGTCACTTGGAAGAGTTAGAGGAATGTGTGGAGGTTTGTGAAAGAAGGAAACTCAAGACTAGGTCACGAGTGTCTAGTCCTAGCTGAGAGCACTCGAAGGCTTTGTAAATTATTTCGAAAGTCGAGGAGGCTAAGGAAATGGAATGAAAATGGGAGGGAGAGCATGGAGAAGATATCACATTAAATGAAAGGTAAGGTTAGAAAGATAACTCTTGTTACTCACCAAAGAAACAAGATAGACGATGCCACTAAGAAAATTCCTATAGAAAATGCCACTAAAAAAATTCTTAAGTGTGGGAATCGTCCAACAAGGTTTTCCCAAGAGCAAGACTACTCATTTTTTTGTCAAATCAGCATGAATCCCTTCATTATTCCATCATAAAATATTTATAGTGTTTACACATAAGCAAAATAATAAAAAAAGGAAACTAAGGGAGAGATGAGATGTGGCTAACCACATTGAAAGGTTGCTAAAGAATTTGAAGCATCCCTTGGTGTGACTTTTCACTCTAAGGAAGATGTGATCCATAACCATTGGAGGGGGGTTTCATTTTCATGCAACTATCTTCCATTTGAATTATAGTATTGTTTCTTTCCATAATTTGAATTTCAAATTTAAAAAAAATTTGAATTTAATAATTCAAAAATTTTAATTCAAAATTTCAACATATACATTTGCAACAAAAGAAAATATTAAAACTCATGTATTAAAATACACAACATCAACAAATGTAAATAAAACTAGGTTAATGTTCATTTAAAGCATGTTTTTTTTTTTACATTGGGCTCATATAGTTGATCCATGACTTTTGCTTTGGCTTTTTGTGTGCTTTGTCCATACCAAGCTCTATTTGCTCCTTGTACTACATACAAGGATTTATTGTGTGTGTTCAAATTTGTTTAAATTATGATTGATAAATGCTGACCTTTGATTCAAGAGCTTGTGATTGCATTGATTGAGTGTGATTCTTTGTGAAAATTAGGGCACATATGGCTTGCTGATTGAAGAGAGCACAGTTGCATAGATCATAGTTTTTACTCACTTATTTGCCATCTATCTCATTTGTCTCACTTTAAAATTGAATGACTTGTTTCTACTCTCGAATAGGGGGGAGGACCAAGTTGCCTTGCCAAGTGGATCTAGAAGAATCTTAATGACTTTGAAATTGACCTGATTATGTTAAGTCTTGATTGATGATTGATTGGTTGATCTGGTCATCATCATGTCTAATAGTGATGTAATCGAGTCATTTGGGTACTCTTAATCGAGCAAATAGTGGCTCATGCTACCAACTAGGTGATTGAACCCATAACTAAAGCTTGTACGATCAAACTGACTTGACCTTTGCTAAGTGAGTAAGGGAAGCATTGTAATTAAACACAACCCCTCCCTGACTAGGCTCAAGATAGGCCATGTGATTGAATCACAAGGACAACTTTGAGCCCATTTTGGCGCATCAACTAGATTTGGCATACCAACTTATGTCAAATGGCAAAATTGGCTTCATACATTGGAACTTTGCATATGAGTGGTCCCATGACTTAATAAAATAACTAGGTCAAGTCAACGTGGCTTGGTTTTTACCAGTTTAGCTTTAGCCCATACCATCACCAGTACATCAGATCCCATTACCAATACATCAGATCCGATCAGAACTCCGCAGTTAAGCGTGCTTGGGCGAGAGTAGTACTAGAATGGGTGACTTCCTGGGAAGTCCTCTTGTTGCAACTGTTTTAACACTGTTGTTGCCCGGTCCCAAGTCCTGGATGAGAAAAGTGGAGGGTTGCGTTAGGTAGTCGACATCCAGCATAGAACTTGTCGAAGAATCATGACATGAATCCTTTAAAATTTTTTTTAATGCTAGGGCTTCCTCTAGAAGCAACATGCTGTATGGAAGTATGGCTTGAATACAATGATAAGTGTGCAAGGGCCGCTGCACCGACCCCCAAGTGCAGTGTTAAATGGGCAATAGTTCCCGCATCAAGGACGTATGTGGGCAAATAAGCTAGTCCATGAAATTAAAATTAGAAGATCTTGGAAGATATGTTCCCTTACAGGCAAATTAATGGAATTAATAGATATTATGATTCATATGAAGATAAATATTTTGTGCATTCAGGAAACTCAATGAGTTGGAGAGAAGACTAAGGAGATTGATAGTTTATGATATAAATTATGGTATTCCGGTAAGAGTTGGACTACAAATGGTGTAGCTGTGATTTTAGATCATAATTTGAAGGATAATGTTATAAAAATTAACAGAATTGGAGATAGAAGTATAATTTTAAAGATTGTTGTTGATGTTAAGATTATTAATATTATAAGTGCTTAAGCTCCTCAAGTAGGTTTGAATATTAGTTCAAAATTAAAATTTTGGAATGATTTAGAAGAATTAATACAAAAGAAACCTCTTGAAGAAAGAGTTTTAATTGGAGGAGATTTAAATGGACATGTTGATTGAGAGAGATGATTTTAAAAGTATCCATGGTGGCCATGGGTTTGGAACGAAATATGAAGGTGCTAAGACTTTATTAGATGTTTCTTTAACTTATGATTTCTAAGAAAATAGATGAACATCTTATCACTTATAAAAATGGATATAATAAAACGCAGATTGATTATTTTATTATAAGAAAATTAGATCGTTTAGATTACAAAGATTATAAAGTTATTCCAAGTGAAAATTTATGTACTCAATATCGATTATTAATTTTGGACTTTAAGATAAATGAGTAAAAAATAAAAAAATAATGTAAAATGATTTTTTAGGATTAGATGGAGAC